AAGAAATTTTTATAAATTTAAAAATTAGTAAAGAATTTTTAGACTATAAACATGTAACTGAAATAAAAAAAACGCACCTTCGTTTGCGCTCATCAACTTTTTTAGCTTTCATTCCGTTAGAAATAGCATGCTTCTTCTTTCTGTTGTTATTTTTGTCTTCCTGCAATATATCATATCCGTCATAGTACTTAAGTACTTTAAAAAGATAGTGTTAATTGTTATGTACATCTTATAAGAATCTAATTTGCCGTTTTTTTTTTTTTAAGAAATTAGTAATAATTATTTTAATAAAAAAGAATCATTGTTTTAATTAATTTACGCTTACATCTTCAAGTTCACCGATCAAATATTTTTTAAGTATCCTTTTCGCATCTGAGGAATGTCCGAAATTATCGAATCCACTTGTTGCGTCTTTTCCTGCATATTCCTCGATTAATTCTGGACCACCGGGATGCTATAATTAACGTTGATACTTATATGGTTGATATCCTCTTTATCAAAGTAAAATTTATTAAATATTCTTATATGTAATGAAATTATATACTAACATTCTATTTAAATAAATAACAAAATATAGAATAATAATATATAATTGTAATTATATAATCATATAATATAGTAGAGAAATTAGGAAATAGGAATAAATAAAGTATAAAATTAGGAAATAGGAATAAATAAAATATGAAATAGTAATAAATAAAAAGTATAAACGATTTTAAAATTGTGATAATGTTTTTCTTCTCTCACGCGCGCGCGCGCGCGCGTGCGCGCACACACACACACACACATTTATTTACTGTATGATTTTTAAAATGTCAAAATTATCAACATTTTTTAAATGCAATTATCTCTGAAAATCATTTTATGGAAATGTATAATTTTTTTCTAAAAATTAGATTTTTTTTATAGAATGTACATGAACATTCTTAAACTTTGTCAAAAATTTGATTTTTTTTTATAAAATCAAATCTTTAATCAAACCTTTTTTTTCGTTTCTAATAATATTGAAATATTAAAAATAATATTTTTAATAACATACAAAAAATCTGAAATTTCATTTAATATAAAGGATTTTGTTTGCTATTTCATTCGTTATATAATTAAAAATTTTCACAAGCCTTTATTTTAATAAAAATAAAGGCTTGCCATTAAAAAATGTTTTAATTTTATATATTTTTTCATAATTTTTAAAAAAGTTTTAGGAAAATATTTTCGTTTAGGAATGTATAGCTCTTTCTATAATTTTACTTTTTTAATAATTCTATTTAGAAAAGCATTCAAATTTGTAAAAGTTATTAATTTATAAAAGATCA